ATAATGATTATGTCATTGACATACAATAAGAAAATAACAACTGATTGTCCAACATGTTTCACAAATAGTGAAGAATCTGAGTATGTAGTAAGAAACCCCAGAGATGGCAAAAAACTTGTGAATCTCTTATTCCAAGCCCTTGGGGCTTGTTTTATACCATATAAGGACTTGTGTAATTGACACACATGTGTTGAATGTTGAGGATCCAAAAAACCAGGGGGCTGAGACATGTATACTTCCTCTTGTAATATGCCATGAAGAAAGGCATTATTCACATCTAATTGTCTAAGTGACTAACCAAAGTGAGCAGCAAGAGCTAATACTAACTTGACTGTAGTTGGTTTAACCACAGAATTGAAGGTTTCTCCATAATCTATACCCTCCTCTTGATTAAAACTTTTGGCAACTAATCTTGCTTTATACCTGGAAATGGTACCATCGACATTTTTTTTAATCTTATAAACCCACTTACACCCTACAAGATTTTTATGTAGAGGAAGAGGAACAAGGGACCAAGTACCCTGAGAATGAAGAGCTGAAAGTTCCTCTTTCATTGTTGATAACCACACATAAGATTTCAAGGCTGACTTATATGTTGCAGGCTCTGTTTGAGACAAATCCACTAACTGATCATCTTGAAGAACTGAGAGAAATACTTTTTTCTTAGATATCCTACTTTTAGATCGAGTCTGCATTGAATGTGTATTTAGTGTTGGAATTGGTAATATAACCTGTAAACTTTCAGGAGAAAAACCAATAGGATCTTCAGATTGCTCAGAATAAGACTGAGAAGTACTTGCAGGAGCCACAGGGTGAGGAGAGGATAATGATTGAGAAGAACTTGCTGATATTGTTGGGATTCCAGTAATGAGTTGTGTATTGGAACTGTGAGTATCATTGGTATCTAAAGAATGAGAACCAACAATATTTGGCATAACAGTATGACTAGGGACTACAATATTCTGATGAGTGACAGACGTATTTGGAGACTATGATACAACAAATGATGGAGAAGACTTGGAACACAAAGGAACTGAACATTTTGAAAGCAAACTAGTATATGGAAATTTAGTTTCATCGAATATGACATGTCTGGAAACATATACCCTCTTATGAGATACCTCATAACAAATATACCCTTTATACTTAGTAGCATAACCCGGAAATATGCATTTTATGGTCTGAGGCTGGAGTTTGGTACTATTATAGCGTCTGAGTAGTGGAAAACATGAACACCCAAAAATTCTTAAATGAGTGATATCAAGAATGAAATTAAACAACAATTCAAATGGTGATTTGTTGTTTAAGGTTGAGGTAGGCATTCTATTAATAAGATAGAAAGCCACTTGACAAGCAAAAAACCAAAACTATGGAGCTAATGAAGCAGTTTGTAAAAGTGTGATAGAGGTTTCAATGATATGTCTATGTTTGCTTTTAGCTAGACTATTTTGTTCCGGAGTATGAGGATAAGACAATTGATATTTGATTCCTTTATCAAGAAGAAATGTTTGAAATGTTTTACTAATATATTCCCCTCCCCTATTCACTTTGTAAGGTTTTAATGGTAGTTGTAAAATGGTTCAAAACAAAATTGTAGAAACCAACAAAGACAGAACAAACATCATTTTTATTGCTGAGAGGAAAAATCCAACAATATCTAGTGCATTCATCAATGAATGTCACATAGTATCTCAAACTTCAACAAAAATACATGGAAAGAGACCCTAGACATCAGTGTGTACAACTTCAAAGAGGATAACAAATTTTGACACAGAAGCAACAAATGGCAGTTTACAAAATTTACCTTCTAGACAAGTGGAACAAATCACAGGTGATGAATCAAATGTAATAGACACTTTACATTGTTTTAAAATGGAAGACACTACAGAGTTTGATGGATGCCCTAATCTATTATGCCAAAGTGTAGAAGATACTTGTTGTCCAAGAAATGCCACTGGAGATCGAGTTGATGAAGATGATGCAGATGCTGATAGTGGAATTGGATACAACCCATCACTGCAAAGCCCCTCGAACATTATCTTCCCTGTGGCCTTGTCCTGAATCCAAAAACAGAAAACATCATACATCAACCAGCAATTATTGTCCAGACATAATCGATGTATAGATAACAAATTTTGTGTTAATCTAGGAACATATATGATAGAATGTAATTGTAGTGGTTTGATTGTAGTTGGAATATTGGAAGAACCAATATGTGAAATGGATAAAACTGCACCATTAGCTGTTTGAATTGTCTCAGTGGATGGATATGGAGTAGCCAAGGAAAGATTATTCTGATCAGCCGTCATATGTGATGTAGCCCCTGAATCAGTGAGCCAAAACTGCTGAGGAGGTGTACTTGGAACAACAGAATTTGAGATAGTGTTGACATGCATAACAGTAGGTGAAGAATTTTGAACATTGGAGTTTCTGTAAAGACAAAACTACACACTAATTCTTTTTACCACATATTTGACAACCTTGAACAGCTGCAGTATCCGAATTCTTGAACCTGCAAATAGCAGCCAAATGCCCATATTTACCATAAATTTGACAAGTAGTGTTAAACTGGCTTTGCTGAGATGGTGGTGAATTTCCAAGAATACTAGGAGCATTATTGATGTAACTAAATTTGTTATTCCCAAACCTAGGCTGTGAATTGTTGTAAAATTTCCCTGTGCCCTTGTTCTTGTTAAAATTTAGCTTATAACTAGAAACATTATAGAACCCGGATTGAGAACCATAAGAATTATTCTGAAAAAAATTCCCAAATTTAGACTGATCACCAAAATTATACTGTCGATCATAACTTGAATTCTTAGAATCATTACCACCATTCTTGGTAACCATTGCAGTTAAGAAAAGAGTGGCAGCCATATTTTCAATCATTGCTTCCTCAGCAAGTAACTGAGAGTGAAGTTCCTTCATTGAGATAACATTTTTTCTTCCTTGAATTATAGACTTTAAAGTATTATACTCAGAAGAAAGACCATTCAGAGTTAATATCACAATATCATCATCCTCAAATGTTACTACAGTAGCAAAAAGATAATCACGAGCCTCTTTGATTCTTTGTAAATACTAAGAAATTGAATCAGTACCTTTCTTGATGTTTTGCAATTCAGATTGCATCTGAAAGATTGTTGTACGAGTAACAATGGAAAATTGCTCCTTGAGACGAGTTTACAAGTCATGAGCATTGGTACTTCCAATTGCACAAGAAAAGGTGGAAGGAGACAAAGTGGCAGTGATTAACTGCATGAGTGCCCTATCATGCATCTTCCAAATCTTGAAGGTATCAATCTCAATTGAATCCCCAGATGCAGTGGAATCAAACAGTGAAGGACAAAGGTTTGTGCCATCGACAAAACCCATTATGCCATGACCTTCCAAAAGTAATTCCATTTGTAAATTCCACACAAGATAGCTGGAATCATCCAGTTAACAGATGAAGAAATTATTGATATAAGAGAGGTAATAGGAGATTGAAGGATCTGAAGTTGTGTAGCCGCACTATAACTTTAAATAAGAGAAAAACCCAAATGCAAATTCTCAGAAGAATTAAACCAAACACCTGGAGTGCACAAGAATAAGCACAAGGAACCAAGAAATATAGAGATATCAAGAACCCAAGAAATGTGAGAAAAGGGAGCTGATCACAGATAAAGAGCGAAAGCAGAGAAATCCAAGATCGAAGAACTGTCGAGCACGAAGCCTTACGGCGATTGATACCATGTAACTATAACTATGAAGAGCTCACTATATCTTGCAAAAAAGAAAGAAAGAAGGAGATAGAGAGAGAAGTAGAGATTTAGAGAGAGAGAGAGACTATTCAGTTTATTAATGATTCACAAACTTAGTACAAGATGGTTACACATGTTGGTTATATACCAGACTAGGTAGCTTACTAACTAAGCCACACACTCAACTCACAATCTATTGAGATTTGTCATTCTATCTAACCATTAAATCATAAGCTCATTGTTGGAAACTAACCAGCTCCTGGAGTCGAGGGGTCGAAGGTGGCAAGGAGCTTCTGAGCAAAAGGTGCTATCTGCATCGAAGAAGGAAGAAGAGAAAATGAAGGGTTGGCCTCCAATGGCTAGTTTTTTGCTGTTTAAATGTGTGAGTGACAAGTGTACACTTCAGATTAGATCATTTAAATCCCAATGAGACAAATGTACACTTCAGATTAGATCATTTAAATCCCAATGAAGGACTAGGATTTAATCTGGAGTAGTAAGGTAATTTTAGTGTTTATATATTGTCTAATCACTAACTCTTTTACACAAGTATGGGTGATGGAAATGTACCATACCCTTACACATTTTCTCTACTTAATGAAGTATGGATGCTGCATTTTTTTTTGCACAACCTTGAAGTTGAAAACCACACTCCGATATCCTCTTAATTCTCTACCATTCTACAAATAAGAAACCAATCCAAAAACTATAACCAAAAATCATCCAAACAAACAAATTGTATCATGGCCTTAGAGCTTAGTTTTTTGATCTGAAAACTTTCTGGGCGTAATCTGTGCAAGTTAAGACTTTTGGGAGCACCAACAAAGTGTCCTAAAAAACAACAACCAACAAACAATTCTAAAAATGAAGGGATCCAGCAGTAGCAGTGAGCTAAAAGCTCTAGTCTTTGATGGGGAGAATTATGATTTTTGGAGAATAAGAATGACAACCATTTTGAAATCCTATGATCTATGGGATATGGTTCAACATGGGTATGAACTACCTGAGATGGAGATCGATGCTCTAGAGGAGGATCTCACAGAAACACAACTCAAAACACTGAAGCAGAATCGAATGAAGGATGCTAGAGCACTTGGAATCATTCAAGGTGCTGTCTCAGACATCATTTTCCCGAGGATAACAAATGAAGAGACTGCTAAGGGTGCTTAGGAAGTTTTACAGTAATAGTACAGATGAGACACTAAAGTCAGAAAGGTAAAACTTCAGTCCTTTAGAAGATATTTCGAGTATACAAGAATGAAGGAAAATGAGCTGTTAAAAGACTACTTCACTAGGCTGTTTGATGTTGTAAACAAGATGAAAACATATGATAAGGAACTGCCTAATGAAAGAATTGTCCAGAAACTGTTGATTAGTTTGACTAAACCATATGATTCGATAATGAGTGTTATTGAAGAAACCAAAGACATTGAAACTCTCAGTGTGCAAGATGTGATGACATCCTTAAGAGCCTTTGGCCAAAGACTCGAGAGGCATGCTGATTTTGCACCTGAGAAAGCCTTTCAATCACTCAATGTTGCATCAGTGGAAGGGCAAGAACAAGAAATGAGATGGAAAAAGGTATCACAACTTTAGACCTAACCAAGGCAGCAACGTTAATGCAGGTCCAAGAACCAAACAACAATGCAAACATTGTGATAAATTTCATCTTGGAGAGTGTTGGTTCAAAGACAAGCTTAGGTGCCATAAATGCAACAGGTTTGGGCACATTATGAAAGACTGCAGATCAAAGAATGTGTAGCAAGTAAACTGCGCAAATCAAGTGGAGGAATAAGCAAATGTGTTCTATGCTTTCAGTGCAAAAGTGGAGAAAAACAATGAAGTGTGGTACGTTGACAGTGGCTGTAGCAATCACATGGCTGCACATGAGTCATTACTCATTGACATTGACACAAACTTCACTGGAAAAGTGAAAATGAGAAATGGAAACATTGTCAAGGCCACTAGAAGAGGAACTCTGGTTATCAACACTAAGAAAGAAAGAAGATGCATAAAGAAGGTGATGTTAGTGCCAGGACTAGATGAAAACTTACTTAGTGTGGGTCAAATGATAGAGCATGGGTATTTCCTACTCTTTGGGGGAACTGTGGTTGAGATCTATGATGACTGATCCCTACCAAATTTGGTGACCAAAGTGGAATTGAAAAATAGAAGATTTCCACTTGTGTTGAAGTACTTAGACAAAATCGCAAGGAAAACAAGTATGACATGTTCTATGAAACCATGGCACAAGAGGTTTGGTCACTTAAACATGATAAGCCTAGAAAATCTGCAAAAGTATGAAATGGTACAAGGGATACCTAAGATGGATCACTGCAATGAAATCTGCAAAGGATGTGCATTTGGGAAGCATCACAGAGATCCATTTGAAGTTGGCAAGGCTTGGAGGGCAACAAAGCCACTCGAATTGATTCACACAGATGTGTGTGGACCAATACAAACAACAACAATCAGTGGAAACAGGTATTTCCTAACCTTCATTGATGACTACTCACGGATGTGTTGGGTGTATTTCATGAGGTTTAAGTCTGAGGTATTCACAATATTCAAGAAGTTCAAGGCAATGGTGGAATTACAAAGTGGATACCAAATCAAAAGACTAAGAAGTGATAGGGGAGGTGAGTACACCTCACATGAGTTCAATGCATTCTGTGAAGATGTGGGGTTGGAGAAGTAACTCACTGTGGCATATTCACCACAACAAAATGAGATTGCAGAAAGGAAGAATAGGACTATAATCGAAATGGCTAAGTTTATGATGCATGAGAAGAATATGCCTTATATACTATGGGGTGAAGTTGTGAACACCTGCATTGGACAAGAAGACACCATTCTAAGTGTTCAGTGGAAGGAAGCCCTCTGTGAAGCACCTGAGAGTGTTTGGCTCAGTATGTTACACTCTCATCCCTCACCAACTAAGGCACAAGTTGAAGAAATCAAGTAACAAGGGTGTTTTTGTAGGCTATGGTACCAGTGAGAAAGGGTACAAAGTTTATAGTGTGTTAACTCAGAAGATAATCCTATCAAGGAATGTTATCTTTGATGAAAACTCAAAGTGGAACTGGGAAACAAAGATAGAAGAAAAGGACAGTGTCTCTCTACAACTTGACCTTAACAAAAGGCAAACAAGGGAGCCTATGGAGACCTTAGTTCAAGAAGAAGTCACAGATAATGGTTACATACAAGGGACTCTACAGCAAGCTAGTATGAGTCCACAATCAAGTCAATCACAGATAACAACTCCAAGTTCAACTCCAGTGAGATTGAGAAACTTGGATGAGATTTATGCTACATGTAATTACTGTGTAGTAGAACCAGAAACATGTGAAGAAGCTGAGAAAGACAAAGCTTGGAAGAAAACAATGAATGAAGAGCTTGAAATGATAGAGAATAATGACACTTGGGAACTTGTAAATCGACCAAATGACAAGCCTGTGATTGGAGTGAAATGGGTGTACAAAATGAAACTTAACTTAGATGGTTCTGTGCAAAAGAACAAGGCCAGATTGGTGGCTAAAGGTTACGCACAGAAACCGGGTGTAGATTTCAATGAAACCTTTGCTCCAGTAGCAAGGTTAGACACCATAAGGACTTTGATAGCCTTAGCAGCCAAGAAGGGTTGGAAGTTACATCAATTGGATGTCAAATCTGCATTTCTAAATGGAGTGCTAGAGGAGGAGGTGTTTATGGATCAACCTCAAGGGTTCATAAGTCAAGAGTTTCCTGAAAAAGTGTACAAGTTAAGGAAGGCTCTCTATGGCCTAAAGCAAGCTCCAAGAGCTTGGTACAGTGAGATTGATTCCTATTTCACTGAAAAAGGATTTCAGAAAAGTCCTAGTGAAGCTACACTCTACACCAAGAAAGAAAGTAACAACAAGACACTCATTGTCTCAATCTATGTGGATGATGTTGTCTACACTTGAAATGATGCTGCAATGATTGAAGAGTTTAAAAAAGAAATGATGAAGAGGTATGAAATGACAGACCTTGGCTTTTTGCATCATTTTCTTGGCATTGGGGTAATTCAAAAGGCAAACAGCATTTTCATTCATCAAATGAAGTATGCTAAAACCTTGCTTGAAAAGTTTGGTTTGAAAGGTTGCAAACCGGTCTCTACACCTCTAATTGCAAATGAGAAACTTAAGAAGGAGGATGGAAGTGAATTTGCAGATGCTAGTCTCAATAAGTGCATTGTTGGCAGTCTATTGTACTTAAGTGCAACAAGGCCAGATATAATGTTCTCAGCAAGCCTACTTTCTAGGTTTATGCAGAATCCTAGTAAGATACATATGGGCACATCTAAGAGAGTGCTGAGATATGTGCAAGGAACACTAGATTATGGGATCAAGTATGAAATGGGGAAGTCAATTATCCTAATTGAATTTTATGACAGTGACTAGGGTGGTAGTGAAGATGATACCAGAAGCACATCGGGCTACGCTTTCACCTTTGGTTTAGGGGTATTTTCGTGGGCCTCTGTGAAGCAACAAAGTGTTGCACTATCCACAACCGAGGCGGAGTACGTGAGTGCATCAGAAGTAACGGCTCAAGCTATTTGGCTAAGATTTAAACTCAAAGATTTTGGCGAATTACAGGTTGATACCACACCACTCTTGTGTAACAACACCTCTGCAATTGCCATGACCAAAAACCCAATTTTCCATCAAAGAACAAAGCACATCAAGAGAAGATATCATTTCATCAGAGAAGCATTGCAGGACAATACAATCAAACTAATCTATTGCAGCACAGAAGATTAGATCGCAGACATATTCACAAAAGCACTACCGAAGGAGAGATTCAATTACTTGGGTTTGCTCGGAATGACTCCTAGAAGCAGTTTAGAAGGGAGTGTTGGAAGCTGACCACCTCTTGGAGTCGAGGGGTCGAAGGCAGCAAGGAGCTCCTGTGCAAAAGGTGTTGTCTGCATCGAAGAAGGAAGAAGAAGAAAATGAAGGGTTGGCCTCCAACGGCTAGTTTTTTGTTGTTTAAATGTGTGAGTGACAAATTTACATTCCAGATTAGATCACTTAAATCCCAATGAAGGGCTAGGATTTAATCTGGACTAGTAAGGTAATTTTAGTGTTTAAATATTGTCTAATCACCATACCCTTACACATTTTCTCTACTTAATGAAATATGGCTGCTGCATTTTTTCTGCACGACCTTGAAGTTGAAAACCACACTCCAATATCCTCTTAATTCTCTGTCATTCTACCCCTAAGAAACCGATCCAAAAACTATAACCAAAAATCATCCAAACAAACAAATTGTATCACTCATAACAAACAGCCAACAAACCTTTATTATTCTTATCACAAATCATCCAAACAAACAAATTGTATCACTCATAACATCCAACAAACCTATATTATTCTTATCACTATTGTCTTCTTCCCCACTTGGCCTCGCATTGATCGTTTGAACCTGCAACTGATGACCGACGACCGACACCAAGATTTTCCCAAACCTTGGTCCTTACTCTCGTATAAATTCGAAACGAACAGTGGAACAATTTTCTTGCAACCGGACGCACAGCAAACATGGATCTGAGAGAAAGCATCATCAACCAAAACGACGTGGCAAGGAGGCTGACGAAGCAGCTGGTTCAGACCGAAGGCAAGCAGTCGAACCTCGTGTACTCGCCGCTGTCCATCCACGTGGTGCTGAGCCTGATCGCGGCTGGGTCAAAGGGTCCCACCCAGGAGCAGCTGCTCTCGTTCCTCAATTCAAAGTCCACCGACCACCTCAACTCCTTCGCTTCCCAGCTCGAGTCCGTGATCTTTTCCGATGGGTCCCCCGTGGGCGGCCCCAAGCTGGCGTTTGCAAATGGGGTTTGGGTGCAAAAGGATCTCCCGCTGAAGCCTTCCTTCAAGCAGGTGGTGGACACTTATTACAAGGCCGCTCTTGCCCTAGTCGATTTTCAGACCAATGTAAGCTCCCAAACCCTCTGTCATGTCGTTTCGATAGTTTTATTTCAATGCTGCTCATGATCAAAGTCTTCAATTTTTTTTTCGATTTGATTAGAGATGTTTGTTCCTTTGTTGAACCTAAATTGCAGGCCTGCTGATGCTCTTTTATTTTTGTAGCATTTCAACTAAATACTTCCTCTCTAATCATTACTGTTCGTGCTTGTTCTTGTGCATAGCTTAGCCGTTACGAAATCGTATGGTAGATTTTTTGTTCGTTACTGTTTGTGGTTGTAATTGATCGAGATATGCAGGCTGATATCATTGTTTTCTAACTTGTCGTAACTGTTGTTGGTGCTCAAGGCTGCTCAAGTGGAGTCGGAAGTGAATTCATGGGCTGAAAAGGAGACGAGCGGCCTTATCAAGAATCTACTTCCTCCCGAGTCACTTGACAGCTCAACCAGGCTCATCTTTACGAATGCATTGTACTTCAAAGGAGCTTGGACTGAGAAATTTGATGCATCAGCTACAAAAGAGCAGGACTTCCACCTTCTCGACGGGAGCGCAGTTAAGGCGCCCTTCATGACCAACAAGAACAAGCAGTATGTAAGTGCCTTTGACGGTTTCTCAGTCTTAGGGCTTCCTTACAAACAAGGTGAAGACAAGCGGCGCTTCTCCATGCACATCTTTCTTCCACAGGCGAAAGATGGGCTGCCAGCTTTGGTTGAGAAACTTGGCTCTGAGTCCGGGTTTTTAGATCGATATCTTCCCAAACAACCAGTTGCAGTGGGCGACTTCAGAATCCCAAAATTTAAGATCTCATTTGGGTTTGAAGCTTCCAATGTCCTAAAGAGTCTGGGACTGGTGCTGCCTTTCGTGGGTCCAGGAGGTCTGACGGAGATGGTGGACTCGCCCGAGGGTGAGAGGCTATATGTTTCCAGCATATTCCACAAGTCGTTCATTGAAGTGAATGAAGAAGGCACAGAAGCTGCAGCTGCTTCTGCCGGCGTTATAAGTGATAGGAGGATGCCCATGACATTTGTGGCTGATCGTCCGTTCCTTTTCACGATCAGTGAAGAAACGACCGGAACAGTTCTGTTCATCGGTAACCTGCTCAACCCTCTTGCCGGCTGAGTGTTACAATCCCCTGGGAAAAGGCATCATGTGTACGTAGAATAATACGAGACTATAGTAAATAAAATGTATGATCCTTGTATACATGTGCTATGTTTGGTTATCACCCAATCACCCTGTACTTGCAGCAGTTGATCTATTTGTAGAATCTTGATTCTGAATACTTATTTTATGTTGTTACGGCCACACACGATAGTCAAGACTACTTGTTTAATAATTAAGCTTACTTGTGGTCCCATTATGTAAAAAAAAATCTACATACGGCCGTTTGCATGGAAGAAATCGTTTATTGACTTTAGTTGAGTTTAAATAATAATTATTCTTCCGTGTTAAAATTAAAATTTATTTTATTACGTGACTGATTTAAAATACTGTAAATACTGATTTAAAATTATCTCATTGTCACCTTGTGTGTCATTCTCGTAGAATTTGGAATTATTCACATTGTTTAGTAACGTAAGATGTTTCAGTACATGAAAACGTAATTACATTTATAAAAGGAACTGGAGCGCCTGCTGACCTCGTTCAAACAGACGGTGTGGGTTCCACGTGGCTGGCGCGAAATTTAAACCGTTAATTTAATGGTAGTTATCTCTCCCCCTTGTCACGACTCCCATGCAATGCTGCAAAGTCACAAGCACCCATCGTTTGGTTCTAATATTACAACAGTACCCCCATGGAAACACAATCTTAAGCAATCTCTAATACTCATAATGTTGTTGAAGTTTTGCAAGAATAATTGCTAAACAGTGATTAGACGGTCGGATAAGAGATAGGGTTTATGATTTGATTTGGATGTTCCACCCTTTGCCACTCAAAGTGTCTTATCTACCAAACATATCTTGAAAAATAATTTAATTTGGTACGAAGAATCATAATTTTTGTTTATCATTGACGTAATCAATCATAGCATGTTTTTGATCAAATCTGTATTTATTGGGATATTCATCCTTAAAATCTTCATTTTGTTATAAAACAATAATATATTTATTATTTTTAGAATTTTGTAATACCTTTATTTAATTAGTAACCTTGACATTTTAAAATTGAAAAATCAATATTTAAATGCAAAGTTGTCCGTTTTGAATAATCTCTAACAATATTTTCCTTCTCGTAAACGAATAAGACTGGTTTATTTTGTACACAATTAGATATTGAGAGTTGAAATTCTAAATACTAAGTTCTTGCTAACATATTTTCGTAACCGTTTAAGATGTTTGTATGCTCGAAGAAAATGAAAAATTGAATCAACCCATAGTATTATTATGGCAGTCGACATCTTTTATCATAGGATAACCATCAAGTCACACCACATATCCCGAAAGAGAAATCCATCCAAAAAATAGGAAAACGAAAGGAAATTCCTTATTTTCCTTCGTGGAATCATCCCTCTCTCCCCACCACCAGGTCCCAGCTGAAAAGAAACGGATGGCACAATCGTGATTATCACAAACAGCAATGTCAAATTGTAGCTAGAGAATCGTCAGCACCGTTTACAAGTAAGTGGAAGTTCCTCGAAGAGTAAGAGAACTCGACAATCATAACGTAATCTATCTCTTCACTTTCTCAATCCTTTTCTATCTTTTTTTTTTTTTTTTCTGGGTTCCTTGTACTTCTCGTAAATATTAAGACTTTAATTCAACAGAAAGGAACTTTCTCTTTCATTGCTTGCATTTTTTTTTTCAGATTTTGTACTTTCCTTTCCTTGCAGTTGCTTGGAAGAAACCAAACTCAGAAGACCTTTGTTTTTTTTGAGAATTCAGTTCAATCCGTTTATATATATATATATATGGTGTTGATGATTTACCAGAAGTGATAGTGCTTCAACAGAGAAGAAGAAGCTTTTAGTCTTCAGAAATTCAGAGAAAAGATAAGGAAGTGGAAGAGTGAAGGAAAAGCAAAACAAAAGATGGGAGAAAATGCTCCGCCTCCTCCACCACAGGTGGTTGCTCGGCCGTCTCAGATGCCTCTTGGGGCGGCGAAGGGTCCCATTTGGACTCCAACTGAGCAGCTCCACCACCTTCAGTATTGCATCCACTCCAACCCCTCTTGGCGTTAGTCTCTCTCTGTTTCTGTTATTTCTTCGTTCTGGGTTTCTATATTTTTTGAGTAAAAAGCTGATTAAAGTTGTGCTATTTTAATGGGTTGGTTTAAAAGTTGAAGCTTTTGGCACTACTTCTTATTTAGTTTACTAGTTTGCTTTTTAGTCCTAATTTTGCAATTTACTTTTACTATTTTTGTTTCGGATTCTCTAATTTATTGTGTTCGAATCTTTTTAAGTACTGTAATTAGTTCTAACAAAATAATAAGCATATGTTCCATAACCAGTTTCAACTTATCCTGCTTACAAGAAATCGATTTCACTCGAAAATGTTTAGGTAGTGTAAAAGTAAATTTCCCATGTTTTCCTGATCGAATGTAACAAACCGCTTCTAATGGATCGAATTTTACAGCGGAAACATTCGTACTCGCTTTCCAGCACTATGTTGTGATGCTCGGATCCATAGTTATAATTGCCACTAGTCTCGTGCCTCGGATGGGTGGGGATCATGTAAGTTATGTCCTCTATGTCATAAAGTTTATAATATGCCGGTTAAGATTAGCGATCACACACGTAGCTTTGAATCCGTGATGTTAATGTTTGGGTTTTATTCTCCCTTTGTGATCAGGGTGACAAGGCACGCGTGATTCAAACGATGCTGTTTATGGCAGCAATAAACACTTTGATCCAAACACTCATCGGGACAAGGCTTCCAACAGTGATGACTTCGTCATTCGCTTTCACCCTTCCGGTGATGTCAATCATCAATGATTATTCTGATCGGAATTTTAGAAGTGAACATGAGGTATGTAAAGTTTGAAACATGTTATTCATAGAGGATTTAACATCACATTAATTTACTTCTTAAATTGCTTTAAGAAATTTCAGTTATAGACTTTGAGATGAAAAATACGTGGTGCAAACTTTATACCAGTTGATGCAGATCAAATCAAAACGTGTAAACCTTACATACCTGTAGAAGACGTCATGATGAATTTCTGGTTTTGAGGATGGAATAGATTGAAGCACGTCTATGCACTGTTGCGTCATATGCAATGAACTGATGGGGAGTTCTAGGGTTGTGGCATTAGCAATGTGACAGGGACCTCAAACTTACATAGGCTTCACGTCCCTAGAACCCTATCCACTAACGGAGACTAGAAACTCTTATGATCCTCTAACCAGAATAATAAAGCCAATGGAGTTGTATTCCAGGCAGCAACCCCTTAAGCAATTGGAATTAATCCGGTTTCACTCTTCCCTGTGGCACAAGGAATAGCTAACTAATTAAATCACTAACCCTAGTTCATTCGGTTGCAACTATGCAAACCAATTAGGGTTGGACTTTATTACTTGACTCCAACACGTTGATGATTAATGTGTATGATTGCAGAGGTTTGAGACCACAATGAGAACGATTCAAGGGTCACTTATTGTAGCTTCCTTCTTCAACATCTTCATCGGGTTTAGTAGGGCATGGGGGAACTTCACAAGGTACGAAATCATTATCTCAAGAGTGATGCTTGAAGCCTCAACCTGACATTCTTCTTCGTTATCATTTTCTAAACCAACATCGGCTTTCTTTTTCTTCTCTATCAGATTTTTTGGTCCAATCGTTATCGTGCCAGTGGTTTGTGTAGTCGGTCTTGGTCTTTTTGCACGGGGCTTTCCACTTGTAATGTCTCTGACAAAACACTCCATTTCTCTCATCACATTCATAAGGATATTATCAAAACATTGATCTCTCTCTTATGTTCTGCACAGCTCGCGAACTGTGTGGAGATTGGTCTGCCTATGCTGATCCTGCTCGTCATTACTCAACAGGTAAATTTTATCCGATCTGCCACTTTTTGTTCTTCGAATAAATGTTCTAAGTTTAACATGATAATATTGTTTGGGCAGTATCTGAGGCATGCTCTTCCTAGAGCCCATAACATACTCGAGAGGTTTGCTTTGCTTCTCTGCATTGGGCTTGCATGGTCATTTGCTGCTATCCTCACCGAGGCTGGTGCTTATAACAATGCTAAACAGCAGACTAAACAAAATTGCCGTACAGATCGCTCTTACCTTATAGCATCTGCTCCTTGGTATGTACATGTATCAGGTCTCTCTTCTTGCGTAATAAAGTTAATAAATTCCCTTCAGAAGAATTATTCTTTTCATAACACTTGTTATTGCTGTTCAAATGAAGGATTAGATTCCCATACCCGTTTCAGTGGGGTAAACCCATATTCCGAGCGAGCCACGTCTTTGGAATGATGGGAGCAGCAATTGTTACGTCTGCAGAGGTCTAATACTGGTTCTATAAACTTTTTTATGCACTTTGAAAATTTCGTAATTGGTATTGAATCTCGTATCTTAAATCTGATTCTATGCTTAATCCTTGATAAAGTTAATAATATGTTTTGTTGCAGTCAACTGGAGCGTATTTTGCGGCAGCACGGCTTTCAGGTGCTACTCCCCCTCCAGCAAGTGTAGTGAGCCAGAGTATTGGCTTGCAGGTGATTGCAAATTGTCATGCCGCTCCTTTCTCCCTCCCTCATCCTTTCCAAATCTCTGTGATGCTTTAAAAGAGCGGGAAACAACCGTTGTATTTCAAAATAGTTAAAACGATTTAGTTGTGTATGTTCAAATGTAGGGTGTTGGCATGCTGCTTGAAGGTATTTTTGGCGCTGCTGTCGGTACCACAGCATCCGTGTAAGAAAGCCTTTTTTGCTTGACATATATGTTGATATTCCCTTTATATAATAACGGTTTCCTTGCTATCGAGGAGTATTGGATATCAACAGAAGAAAATTTGCTTACAAAGATTATGAATTCACTCATTTTTTGTAATGTCTTGCAGCGAAAACGTTGGCCTGCTTGGATTGACACACATAGGGAGCAGGAGAGCGGTGCAGATTTCAACTGCTTTCATGTTCTTCTTCGCTATATTTGGTTCGTTCTCTCCTTCCGTTAGTCATGTCATGACTCATGCCTGGGTTTACTACATTGTGTTTGATAGTGTTAAGTTGTGTCTTTCAGGGAAGTTTGGAGCTTTTTTTGCATCAATTCCTTTGCCGATATTTGCTGCCATGTACTGTGTTTTATTTGGAATCGTCGGTGAGTGATTCGATTACCATTTCTAATCTTGTTAATACCATTC